AGATCATTCTGGGACTCCAGTGATTTCTGCAGGATGAGAGAAGAGAAACAGAAGAATTTAGTACAGTTACTATAAAGTAAAAGAAGCAGTGAAACGGATAAAGCTAAAATACAATCAACATTATAGCACAAACAGCCTTGACATATTATTATTCACTTTATCATTATTTAAACGATATATTCATACCTTTTGAAAAATATTGGAAAAAGAGCAGGAAGAGTCTATTTACAAATTGACCCTTAGAGTGGCACTATATTATCATCTATATCACTTCCAGCTTTATGCCAAACTACCCTAAGAAATAAGATGACTATTGAAAATGGCTCCATATTATTACAGCATCCAGCTAACACTCTGTGCAGTGTTCAGTCCAAAAAGCCATGACTCAAAACACATGATGGCATGAACACAAAAACAAGTTAGAGTTTAGAGTTTAGTTAGAACTTCATCCTCTTAAATAATCTTCCAGACCAACTCTTCTATTAAACACTAATGTTCAGGATCTATCTCGGATATAAACTGGCAATCTAGACAATTCAAAATAAAGCAGAAGATTCTAACTGTTTACAGAAACAGTATTGCTGAAACTCCTAGAGGATATAGTCCACTACACAGCCATTGTTTCACACTCATACAGGGAGCAGGAAGTCTATTAGAGCTCAAATTTTATGAACTTCTGTTAATTTACATTCATTCTTTGTTGGATTGGTGTGTGTGTGTGTGTGTGTGTGTGAGAGAGAGAGAGATACGTACCTTTGTCTTGAATTGCAGCTTTCTGGTTGCTTTGAAGCATTGAGATACTCACACTCTGTGAAATGTTGAGTCTCGGAATGAACAGTAGCTGTCAGCCACGCCTCTGTGATGTCTTAATGATTCATGACACCCAATTCATCATATTAAAGTTTTTAAAAATCACTACACCTACATTTTACACCAAACAGCAAGGGACCATTTTGTGTTCAGGGCTTCATTTTATGTGTAACCGCTACATGGCATGGTGTACTCAATAAAAAAAAAGAATTTTAATTTTTTTTTTTTTTTTTTTTTTTTTTTTAATCTATGCATCTTAATTAAATCAGATAGGCACAGCAATTAAAACACCACACTACCTTCTAGGTTCAAAGGAGGATTTTAGTCAGCAAACTACACATTTTTTTGAGTTAGAAAAAGAGTAACACTGTATTAAATTGTTTTTTCCAAGTGTGTGCATTATAAGAGAAAAAACACAAAACATACAATCAGTCCTGTATATGAAAATAAAGAAATAAAACAACCCCCCAAAGTTCAAAGAGCTCTTGTCTTGGAGGCGAAGAAGAAAAAAACAAAAAACCTCTCAGTCCCTTGAATACAAAAAAACTTTACTACCCAGGGAGTTTTAAATCTTGTGATTACTTAAATGACTCAAAGTGTTCTGTGTGTTTTAATCTTAAAACTCTTATCTGTTCTCCAGGCACTTCTTGTAATCCGGATGAAAACTCCACTCCACTAGATGGCGTGTTGTAATGTCACAGGGATCTTGGTGGCTCACCTTTTCCAGAATCACCATTCATCAAATGGAATCATACTCAAAAAAAAAAAAAACCTGCATAAATGCAGAGTACTCGTCATCACTCAATACACTTAATTATCAATTTAGATGGAATATAACAGATAGGGGTTTTCAGATCTGTTCCTATTTGTATTTATAGCCACTTGTTCAACAACCACACATCTAACAACTCAAAATACATCTCATTTACAAAATACTCGTGCATACATATCACTTATGTATGATTTAACCAGTCATTGTTGCACTTAAATGACCATCCAGGCATCTTATTATCAGATTATTATTATTATTTTTTTTCACATTACCATTAATGAGCAAAAAATTCTAAGAACTTCAACACTGATTTTTAACTCAACCCCAACTGTTTTTTTTTTTTTTTTTAAATAACAGACTATTTGTCTCACAATGTACAATATTGTTCAATATTTTAACATCAAGCCATATTTATATATAATATTTTAGTTACAAAATGTTAATTAGGCACATTACATACTTTAAAGATGAACTCAGATAAACAAACTCACCAGAGTCATCTGAAGCAAAATACTCAAAGAGAGGGATCTCTTCTCACCAGAGGCATTAAAATGTAATAGATGTTACCAGGAATGATGCGCACCACACCGGCAGCACCGCTTGGCAAGTATCGGTACAGTGACTCTTACTCCCATGAGTCAATATTTACGTTAGTTAATACATTAGGTAATATTAGTTAATGTTAGTTGAAGATGGACATTTTGTTTCCTCACTGAGATTTGATTTCCTGTTTGTAAAACACACCATGAAGCTGTAAAAAAAATAAAGACTTTATGTTCTGTTAGATGACTACTACTCTTAAATGTACATTGTTTAAATATATATCTCTCTCTCACAACTTCTCTGGAAATAAATACTTTAAACACTCTTCTCAGTTGTCTTACACTTAAATTGTTTGCTTTGAATTGACTAATCAGCAGGTTAATGCGTATATAACAGCCTCCTTTTGATTTTGGTTTCTTGCGAATTTAATTACTGTGACAAAGCAAAAAAAACAAACAAAAAAATCTGACCCTTGATTATGCTTCATAGACCCCTGAGGCTCCCCGGACCCCACTTGAAACCATACGAGCCCATATAAACATAGCTATGCCAGTTGACCAGGAGAAGAGGATATTAGTGATTCACGAGTGAGTTAACTCTTTGAGCTGGGTCTTGTAGGTGAATGCTCGAAGCTCACTGAAAGTAACTGCTTTATTAGATGAGGTTTAATGTTGTGTGTAGAATTCTGAAAATTATAATTTGGGTTAGAGCTATGAAAAGAGGAGAAATAATGTGCTAGTTGATGCATGACTCAATTTGTTAATGGCTTGACTGTTTTGGAGTCTATCTGCACTTCATCGTTTTGACCACCAGATGGCACTTTATGAAAATAGAGATAATCTGATTACTATGAAATGAGCTTCTTTATGAAAAGACACTTAAGACGAGTAGTGCACTTACCACAGCAATGTGGTTACCACACCACCATGATTAGTTTAGTCTCTTCCTCTTTTTTTTTTTTTTTTTACATGAGAAGATGAGAAGTTTGATTAACATCGTATTCTTATTCTATATTTCATTCTTTTGTGCTTTAAAAATGATCTTAACAGTGGCTTAGTGGTTAGCACATTTGGCTTGCACCACCAGGGTTGGGGGCTTGATTACTGCCTCCGCCCTGTGTGGGCAAAGCTTGCATGTTCTTCCCATGCTTCGGGGTTTTCCTCTGGGTACTCCGGTTTCCTCCCCAAGTCCAAAGACTTTCATTGTAGGCTGATTGGCATTTCTAAATTGTCAGTAGTGTGTGAGATTGTGCCCTGCAATGGGTTGGCACCCCATGCAGGGCGTCCCCTGCCTTGTAACCAAACTCAGCTGTTAGTTATCATTCTCCAGTTCTGGAGTACTTCTCACTGAGTCAAGCAGCCACATCCTGAAAATAAAACACCCGTGTTACACTATGACACACACACACCTACACTACACACTTTCTCTCAAAGAATGTGGTTGCAGGTTTGTGTTTCTGAATGTATCACTTCTGTAAAATGTGCGCGCACACACAGTAATGTCAGGTCAGATCATGTCTTCTCGCCAGCAGAATTGTACTTTGTTTACTTCTGATGCTGTGTGCAGCCATGTTGATTTCACTCCATAAACAGGGAAGGAACTCGTAGGTGAGAAGACCACCACAAGCTGACAAGTAAGAAATTCAGGTTGAGGGGGTGTCTTCTTTGGATTTTAATCTCCAGTCTCCATCTTTGGATTCAAACCCCCCTCATCCCCCCAGCAATTTGCACACAGGTTACACACACGCACACACACAGAAAGACTGTATACATACTTGCAGAGTGTCATAATCTGGGGACGTAGTCATGGGGTTCAGTACTGTTTGTGTGTCATCTCCAGGCATTGGAACACTCTGATAGAAATGAAGAGAAAATTTCTTCAGTATTTATTCAATAACAGCTTTATAGGAACTTTAGGTAGAGCCTGATGAAGATAAAAACAAAGTGAAAAGTTCGGTCAGTACCTGAATGTCTGTGTCTCTCTATGCTCCTCTCTTCCTTCTATTTACACAAATGACATAAAAACATGGCTGTATAATCTGTTCCTGCTTCATTCAGCTAATGCAGAGCAGGAACGAGTGCAGCAGCTCCCCATACAGCAGGCAGCTTCCACACCTCAGCTGAGTGAAACAAGTCAGTTCCTGTTATCACGTCCATTATAACAGCTATAAACAGCCGTTCACTCACCAGCCTCTCTTTTTTCTGAATAAAACAACCTGATTCCAAACTTGTTTTAAAGCATGACACTTACCTAACACGTCCAGGTGTGTGAGCAGTGCAGTAGTTCAGGACTTTTTTCAAGATTTTTGTCACATACACAGTTATATACTGCATATACCTTGCAGTTCAACTTGCAGTGAAATGAAAGCTTGGCTTACTCCTCCATAGCCTGAATTTAAATAACTACATTAAAAATAAGAAATGAATAAGAAATGTTTGTACAGGAATGTGCAAAAATTGTTGTTGTTGTTCTTCTTTTTCAGCTGGTCTCCACAGGGGATCACTGGTCCACATATTTGATTTGGCACAGTGTAGCAAACTTCCAAGACAGGCAAGGAGGAGGTGGGAACTGAGTGAACTCAAACGTAAAGTTTTAATAATAAACAAACCACAAACGTAGCACAAACATAAAACACACACGCATCTCTCTCTCTCTCCCCCTAGGCGTTTCCAGACGCTCCTTTATTACACTCTCCCACTGATTAGACAACTCAGTACCAGGCGTGCATCCTCACAGCCTGGACCCTCCCTCCTGCTCGGCACACACAGTTTTTATCCCGGGTTCCCTTCCTGATGCAGTCCTACCCAATTTTGCCTGGGCTCGGGACCAGCACTGGGAGTGCACTGTCTTGTGCAACCCCAGGGGGTGGGGTTGGTTCCCTGGCTGGGAATTGAACCCTGGAGGTGAGAGCACCGAGGCCTAACCACTAGTCCTCCAGGGACCCAATGTGCAAAAAACAGTAATGTACAAATATGCAGTTATGTTACGTGTAGTGACAATAAAAAGTGCAGCGTGCAGAGTGACAAGAGTGTCTTTATGTAGTCCTAAGGGATCTGTATGGTGGACATATCTGTGTTGAGGAGTCTGAAGCTCCTCCTAAGACTCTCAGTTTTAACCATCAGACTACGAAAGCGCTTGCCTGATTGCACCAAGCTGAACAGACAGTACCGGGGTGGAGCTAAGAGCTAAACTAAGTGCACCACTCTCTGCAGAGCTTTGCGGTCCTGGGTTGAACAGATTCCGTATCACACTGAGATGCACCGAGTCAGTAAACTTTCTATAGCTGCAGTATGGTACAACCTTTGTCTGACTTTGTTCACCTGAGCTTAGATGTAATGAGTCCACATCAGGTCCTCAGAGATGTGTACTCCAAGGTACCTGAAGCTGCTCACTCTCTCCACAGGGGTCCCGCCAATCTTGACCACCTCATCAAGGTAGGTGGCCTCAGGTTGTTGGAAATGAGGCCCATAACCACAATGTCGTCATAAACTTGACACAAGGAATTGAGCTGTGAGAGGACACACAGTCATGTGTGTAGATGCTGCAATTCTGGCCTGTTGTCAGCAGTGTGTCTGCAGCTGCTCTGTGCTTAAACCAGGAGTAGGTGAGAACAGGAGGATTTGCATAACTGCTACAGTCACTGTTTTATCTTAGGTTCTTCCTTTACTTTTCTTTACAAGAGACATTTAAGTGTGATAAACATCCATTTCTCACTCTATATTCCTTTATTCTGATTTTAGTTTTTGCTTGTCTTTTGTTTTTGCTTGACTATTTGTCTGTCTCTGTTCCTTCAAAAGGCTGTGAGCTCTGACCGGTCAGGTTTCAGTTTGTTCAGACTGTCTGATAATGAAATTCTGAAGCTTGATTTAACCAGATGAGGATCTAGAGGACATTTCAGGTAAGTTTAAAGCAAATATGCCGATCACTGCAAAATGTGAAAAGGTGAAAGTAAAGCTTGCTATGTAAATTAAGTGTTCTGTTTATGCCAGAAACCTTTGTTTTACAGGCGCATGATGAGACACTGATGTGCAGTAACCGCGTCAGAGTAGGGCTGGAGGAGGAATGCGCTGTGATGTATTCAGGAACATGCCGGATTATGGCACACAGCACCTTAAAGGGCCCCATGTAGCAGTGGGACAATTTGCAGGACTCCACTCTCAGGGGCAGGTTCTTAGTGGAGATCCAAAACCTCTGACCCAAAGGCAGAGTGGGAGCTGGTCTGCAGTGATGGTCCGTCTGTCTCTGGTACTGCTGGGAGACCTGGAGAAGCTTGCATCAAACCTTCTGGCAGCAGCAGTGGATGAATCGCTGTTCAGAAGGGACCCCAACCTCAGCCTCTTGATCCGGAAATAGCGGCGGCACGAACCCAAACTAGCAATCAAAAGGGGACATTCCAGTGGCCGAGAAGCACGGGTGTCGTTGGCATACTCGGCCCACATGAGGAAGGAGGACCAGGAGGACGGTTTGTTCGCTACCATGCACCGCAGGGTAGTCTCCAGATCCTGGTTTAGCCTCTCCATTTGCTTATTGGACTCCAGGTGGAAACCCGAAGATAGGCTCACCGTCGTCCCCATCAACTGACTGAAGGCACGCCAGAACCGAGAGGAGAACTGAGGACCACAGTATACCAAAAACTTGGAAGATATGGTTAATTCGGAGTTTTCTTTGGCTGTGGGTAGCTTAGGCATGGGAATGAATCTGCATGCCTTGGAAAATCTGTCAGTGATCACAAGGATGGTGGCATTACCTTGGGACAGCAGGAGTCCTGTGATGAAGTCCATTGAGAGGTGTGGCCAGGGTCGTTGTGGGATGGAGAGTGGGTGGACCAACCCCTTTGGTGACAGATGTGGGACCTTCCCGTGGTTGCACGTAGGGCAGGCTGCCACAAAGGACTTGATATCCTCCTTGATGGTTGGCCACTAAAACCATCTCTGGAGGAACTCAAGGGAGTGGGTTTCACCTGAGTGACAGGTAACTGGGAGGAGAGACCCCCCTGGAGAATCTGGGAACAAACAGACCTGGGCATAAATTCAGTTCAATTCAATTCAATTTCATTTATATAGCACTTTTAACAATGGACATTGTCACAAAGCAGTTGTTAGGTATGCTTTTTGTCCCGTAATGTTTAAGGACAATGTAGTTTGCGTGCAGAGTGCAACAGGGACTCCGGCAAGACTAGCTATGACAGCATAAGTAAAAGGGAGAGCCAGAGGGTAACAGACATGAGGGCACCCTGGGACATAAAGTGGCCAGCCACTCCACTCTCAACAAACCTGAGTGAACACGTGAGAGTGGGGAGGCAACAGCATCCAAACATCCCAGTTCACCACACTCTATGCCTGTGAACCCTTCAGATCTGCTCCTTTACCTAAGAAAAAACTATTCACAAAAGGCTTGACTACACAAATATGTTTTCAGCCTAGATTTAAACACTGAGACTATGTCTGAGCCCCAAAAACTAATTGGAAGCCTGTTCCATAACTGTGGGGCTTTGTAAGAGAAAGTTCTACCCCCTTCTGTAACCTTCTCTATTCGAAGTACAAACAAATAGCCTGCACCTTTTGATCGAAGTAGGCGTGGCAGATCATAAAACACCAAAAGTTCGCTCAGGTACTGAGGCGCAAGACCATTCAGTGCTTTATAGGTGGAAGGTAGTATTTTATAATCAAAATTTGATTGGGAGCCAATGCAGTGTGGATAAGATGGGGTGATGTGGTCATATCTTACCTACTGGCACCTACTGGAACATCCAGACAGTAAGACATTACAATAATCCAACCTAGAGGTAACAAAAGCATGAACTAATTTTTCTGCATCGTGTAGTGACATTATGTTTCTTATCTTAGCAATATTTACAAACAATTAGCAGCAATACAATAAAAAAAAATCTGTTTATGTGGAGCGTCCAGCATACAAGTCCCTGTGTAAAGAGTTAGAGGGATGGATGGAAGGATGGATCAATGTTATTAATTACGAGGTTCCGCCCCTTTTAGAGATCTCTCGAACATTATAAGGAGTAGTCTTTCTTCCAGGTGGGACAAAAAAAAAAAAAAAAAGACTGCACTGTCCAATAAAATGACCCGCCTGCCCACACTCCCATTCACTCCCAGAGATGCATGGCTTCTGCCATGTTAATGTCCATTGCGTGTTAATCCTTCCTCCCATTAAAACACATTGTACTTGAATCTGCCATAGAACCCAAGAGATGTACGGCTTCTCGGAGTGTGGATGAGCACTGTGTCAAGGGCTTTAATGGGCTTGGTTCAGCATCCAGTCGTTCCAGTTCAGCATCCAATTAAGTGCAGGAAAGTAGAAAAAACTCAAACTGCACTATGTAGTTAGTGCTATAGCTATCTGTGCATGTCTGAAATGTTTGAATATGCTGGAGTAAGCAAAGACTCGGATAAAATGAAATGTCTCCTTTACCTCTCTAGAAGGCATGAACTCCATCTAATTTGAAAACACATGTTGAACTTTGGCCAATTTGCTAACGTTAACTGGCTATATTTAACTGTGGGCTTGTTTTGTTTGCTAATACCAGGTTAGACTAGCATCAGTTCCAGTACCTAAGATAATTGGCTAGGCTGCAAGTCAAATTCTAGCTAATGTTAAATATTGCAAACTTCCAGAGACTGAATGATGTCATGATGTTCAGGCAAAATGTCATAGCTGCTTTAAAACAAAAATCATTTACTGAAAGTTTTAAATAACTAATAAAATAAAACATGACTAACTTAATTTCATCAGTTAAAAACTTTTTACTTTTTAATACATTTAAAAGGAGCAACTTTGTTACTTTCATTAGAATACGTTTTTGCTGGGTGCGAGTGTGAGAGTTTGAAGTACCGGAAATGTCATTGATTCTAAAATAGACTTGACTGATGTGAAGCTCATCTTGCAGAAAGGAAGAGTGTGGTGAGAAGTGTGAAAGTGCATCTAATGAAAAGACACTCACAAACTACTAAAAGCATACACAGCTGTGAGGTCAAATTCAATCCCTCATGTCTGTGATTAAAGGCTCTGGATCCTTCTCTGGTTAAATCAAGCTTCAGAACCTCATTATCAGACAGTCTGAACAATTATTACAATTTTATAGCACAAAAGAAAGGAATATAGTGTAAGAAATGGGCGTTAATCACACTTGAATGTCTCATATAAAGAAACGGAAGAGACTAAGCTAAAACACAGTGGTGTGGTAACCACATTGCTGTGTTAAGTGCACTACTAAACTTCCGTGTCTTTACTGTTAGTGTCATAAAGAAGCTCATCATCGCTTACAAATGCAGTACAAGTGAAGGAGGAACAGGCTGATTAAGACAGTTACTATTCAGTAATAGTAAGACAGATTCTTTTCCCTCACGGATATTTTTGGCCAATATACAAAATGTGGTGGATCTGTGGAAGTGTCGGCTGTCTGAAGGCTGATGTCACCATGTTTTACAGACTATCAAGAAATACTTCAGTAGCAGCAATCCTCATGTTACTGACAGGTAAACTTTTAAAAATATTTCAGCTCTGTCTACTGTTTTTCTGTGCAACACTACAACAGTTCAGAAAAGCTCTCAACATGCCTTTGTGTTTGGAAGTATTTTTTTATAAAATTGACAAGATGTGGTTGCAGGAAAGAACATTTGTTGGATATTGTAGAGTAAAAGACGAGAGTGATAGAGCAAGAAACTATTGCAAAATCTTTTAAAAGATATAAATATATAAAATCAATATAATTTAATATTTTTATATTGTCAAATCTTTATATTTTATTATCAATGTATTATAATAATGTCATTCTGTACCTTTCTTTATCCGTCATTTACACTGTTAATTCTATAAAACCAGATGAAGTTTTTGAACAGTTTCAAGCTGAGTTCTGCTTATGTCGTCATTTTCACACATCACTGGCTCACTCACTGTGAGTGACTGAGAACACTGGCAGTAGCTGGT